CGCTACGCTCTGCGCTGCACACAACTGAGGGAGTCCTGCACTTTCTGTCTTTGACGACACGTAAAAAAACTGCGCATACCGCAGGAACGGTATAACGGGAAATTTTAGTGGTTTTGAAACCGTGACTTTTCCAAACCGGACTTATACCTTGAAACCGGTTATCGTCCCATGCCTATAAAACTCTGTCATTTTTCACCTCTTATTTGCATGACATTGAACATTTCTCAACTGGTTGATGCTCTGTGTTTGCTCCACTCCATCGTCAATCGCACAATCCCCTGAGCTTGCCGCTCAGCTCCCATAGAGAATGAATTAGAATATCCCACTCAGCTCCGCACCAGTGGACGTGCACGGTTAGCCAAAAGTCTTTGGATGTGGTGTAACTTTCCTCTCGTCGGTGTGTAGCTCAGAATGTTTTGGCTGGCTTTCTGCAGCCCTTATGTGGCACTTCAGTACCTCGTGGAGTGTTTTGCTGATCAGCTGCTGTGAAACGACAGATTGGAGCGGGCCGGTGTGCACACTTTTCCCCCGCTCAGCACTGCTGCAAACACTGAATAAGCTTGACGGTGTTTAAACGCTCAATATTAGCAGAACATGGGTAAGTGGCTCTATTTTCCAACTGTTGATCTGGTCTTAGTATCTGTAAACTGTAAGTTGGTGTTTGTGGTTTTTAGCCACTGAGAGGTCAAAAGTTTTTGCTAGTGCGATTTGGCTGTGGCGCCAATTCAAGGCCAGTCGAAAGAGTGCTCAAAGAGTCAATTTAGTCTTATCAGGAACGCTCACCTTGCACTGTGCCTCTGCAGTCATGTGGAGAAGCCACTAGCGAATTGGTTTCAGTGGGAATGGAGTGAGAAGAGACGCACGCCTCTCTCCTGCATCTCAAACAGTTGGGCTATCTCATTAAACCCAGTTGTTTCCCTGACACTGCGGCCGATCCCTGTCATCTGACCCCTGGAACCCTTTGTCTGTATTTCTCTCTCTAACTCAAACATGTAACGCTGCAGAATGAGGCTGTGAGACTCCGTCAAACAGTGACGTTTAACTGCAGATGTGTTCACTTGTGCTATAGGCAAATTACAATTGGCTGTCACTGAAACTGCAGAAATGAACTAGAAATCTGGCATGTTATGGCAGACCCCTAATGACATATTCAATATTGGGTCTCTGTTGCTAATTAGGAAATACTAAGAGATTGGATTGAATTCATCCAGTAACTCTGAAGTCAATTAGTGACATTATCTATATTTTCTCAAAATGTGTTTTAATAATTTTAGCCACAGGGCTTTTATTAACATTGTTATTAAAAATGCAGCAAGGTTCAACTTTTTAAAACTAATTTTATATGTTTATAATTTTACATTTCTTATTTTTAAGTATAAAATTATATTTACATATTTTATGTTTTTGTATAATACATGTGATTTTATATTTATTAACACCTGCTGATGGTAAAATAACTCTCCATGTTCAATTTGGAAGAAAAGAGGATTGGATTTTTCTTTTGAGTGACAGCCGAATCTATTCACTGAGGCCTTGAAAGGCAGTGCTGTCTGGCCCATCTGCTATTTGTGTGTGAAGCTGCAGTTGTTATGCTATGCTAAGGGACTGTACATGTTTGCACGAGTCGAATTTTTGCCCATTAATTGTGCCACTGAGGTGGTCTTGTCATTTGCCTGACAATCTCTCTTTTGGTCCTTCGACAAATAGTCAAGGACATTCGCCTTATGTTGAGTCCTGCATCCCAGGCTGTGCTTTTGTACAGAGGCTATTCTGAATTCCTTCTGACATTTAACTGTCAAGATGCCTCTTTCAATCAGTAGAAAATATGGTTAACACTCGGTCATGCATGAAAAAAAAAATACCGTCTTGTACCGTGAAACCGGTATAATTTTGAAAAATACCGTGATATAAATTTTTGGTCATACCGCCCAGCTCTAAGATGTCTTCATCTTTTGGTATCTCTGTTTACTTCCTCTAGTGCTTTGCTGTCTCTGTCCCTCTATCTGTTTGTCTGGTGTCTGAAGGAAGAAGGGGGAAAGCGTATTGCTGAGTGTCGAGGTGGGAGCCGTTGAGATTTAATTATTATGAGTGCCGGCTGCCGATTGGCTGATACCGTATGGGAAGAATGTCACCACGCTTGTGACCTACAGTATATCAGAAGGAGGATGTGGCTGATAGCTGAGGCCAGACACTCTGAATTAGGAAGTTGCTACTTGTATAACTAAGTTCTGCCCAGTGATGCCCCTTAGTCATGGTTTCACTTAGTTATGAATGCTGACTTATAAGAGGGACTAATGTGTTAATTAGGGCCCTATGAAATCTGTTTTATTTTTTCCAAATTCCATTTTTTCCATTTAAATTTTTCTACACTCTGTTTTAATGGTCAAATTAAATGTTATTCATCAAAAAGCATGTCTAATTAATTGAAATCATGAAGCTTACAATATTAATCAGCAATTTATTAAAAGTTTTACAAAAATGACATTTTTAAGGCCCAATAAAATTTTATTTTTTCTCAAATTCAGTTTTCGGTTCATTTTCTGGATTCCATTTTAATGGCTTCATTAAATATTAATAATCAAAAGCATCTCTAATTAATTGATTTTATAAAATAATTTACTGTGTTTTTGTTTTGTTTTGTTTTTTTTTTCACCCAAAATACTGCATTGTATATTTACATTTTTCTGCTAAAATTCAGCTAAATTTTTCTGGTAAATATTCATTTAAAAATAATGTTTTAATAATAATTGTATTATTAGTAGTAGTACTCTCATTACATTTAAGTAATGGTTTCTTCAAATTAAACTGAACGTTTGTTTTGACAGGTTGCTGTGAAGACCATTAAATTTCCGTTTGTATATGACATAGGCCTATTTTTCCTTAAAAGAAACGGTAAAGTGCTCATAAAGTGACTCTCAGAGCAGTTCTGGAGATTATGTTTATGTGTGTATGTACTCGTATATTGAGGCAGCAGAGGCTGAAAACATTGCGAGCATCACCAAAATTTGGCACATTCTGTGACAGTCGCGTTATACAGTAAATTCAGTTTTTATGACTGGATTCCGCAATTCTGCCGCGTTTTCTGCATCGTGGAAATCATAGGGCCCTAGTTATTGAGCAAAGTGGGATGGGAATATTATGAGGATTAAGATGTCACGTGTTCCTTCCTGTATTAGTGAAGCTGGTGCTCACTTTTTTTCCTCCTGGTTAAAAATAAAATCTTAGTCCACAGTGACATCTGGGTTTAACAGCTCTGACACAACTTCCTCCTTGTGACTCAGAAATGGGGACAGATCGCCTTGACTGTGAACCTCCATGTGATTGTGATTTGGGAATTGTATGTGCTGGTTTCACTGTTGCTCTGTACTTAAACCAATAAGCTTCTGTTGGTGGTTTAGAGATACTGAGACAATGAGTTGCTGTATTGAGTTTCTTTACAGTTTTCTCTATTAGAATGATTTTTGAAGGGTCATGTGATACTGAAGACTGGAGTAATGGCTGCTGAAAATTCGGCATTGCCATGACCTGAAAAATAAATAAATAAAAGAGAACAATTATTTTAAATTGTAATATTACACAGTATTACTGTTTTATCTGTATTTTTGATCAAATAAATGCAGCATTGGTGAGAACGAGAGACCTAATTTCAAAAACATTTAAACACAAAAAAGCTTACCGCCCCTGAACTGTATTACACCTAGTGCTCAGGTTTATAGTTAGAACTGAAGAACCGCATAGATATCAAGTTAGTGTATTCATTCTTAGACTTAACATGGCTTAAAGGTCTTATCTCTAAAATGGAAGTATTTGTCGGTGCCTTTTTATAGACAGAAATCACATAGTGATGATATAAGGTGTGCATGACAGTCTAGTTATTTTAAGAAACAGTTATTTTTAGATAAGGTGATTAAGAAACGTGCTGAAGAGATAATAAATGATTGTTAACTGAACAAATATGCCCATTGAGTTTTATTATTTGACAGGTGTAATCTAATGTCATACAGGTGTAATCAAATTCGAGGCGAATGAACGTTTTTATTTCTTTTGAGTAATTACAACCCAATTCTTTTATCAAAGATTTACTATTTGGTCTTACAGTGTAGTGTCAACAAGCCTCTCTTTCACTGTAATTAATTGCCAATTATAGAACAATTGTTTTTTTTGTGAAATGTATTAATGTATAAATTACACTCTGGGTGTATTTATTTGGATAAACAGAAAATGCTGGAATTTAGGTCAGCTTTCTTTGAAATATCTTACTGAATCATTAAAGATGTTGTTGATGAAAATCAAGCCTTATTTGGGCATTTCATGACTTTTGCCTGTATTCCAGCTGAGCCTAACACTCTTCTCTAGGGAAGGACATAATCAGTTTATGTTCTTGGTTTAAAATAGTTTTTTGTTTGCCTAGAGGAATATTTGAAGCTATAAATATATTCATTGAATATTTAGGTATATATTGTTTGGTTGTTTCCCAGGCATGATGAAGTCACAATGATATTCCAAGTTTTAAGCTTTTTCCTAAGCACAACCTATGTTTGTTTCTCTGCAGGGCCGACATGTCAAAACAGGTCAACTGGCTGCCATCAAGTGCATGGATGTCACAGGGGTGAGTTTATTTTCATCTCTACTTCAGTATTGACCTCTTATCATGCTCTGAAGCTGTTGAGGTCTTTCACCGACAAGATGTCAAAGCCTCTGCTCAAACCTGCAGGTTTATTTTAGGCTTAGTTGATCTTATTTCTGACGTTTTATTATATCCATATATCCTCAAGGCTTAGTTTTCTCCTCATTAGCTCTCTGGATGATAAAATATGATGTCTTCTTAATAACCTTTTAGCATCCCTCTTTATAATAGAGCAGAAAAGATAAGGCTACAATGTCTTCTGTGTTTTTAAAGTAGAGTTCCCTCAAGTGACAGTCATTGGGCTGCCATTTTTTTTAATTCAGTTGCAGTATTTCAGTCACGTCTGTCTGCTATTTTTAACGGCAGATTTTTCCAATCTATCTTTTTATTTTTTAATCTAAAGTCAATTTAGCATTTAATAAGCTGTTGTAGATTTTGAAATACCGTAGCGAATTCAATTCACAAGCTGTTATGAATTCACTGGCCACCGTTGGTTGTGTTTGTAATGGCTTGTGGCTGCCCCCTGTTATTTCGGGGTGAATAACGCTTGATTAGCAGGTTTCATGGATCCTTGTTTTGTAGGACAAACCTCTTCCCTGTACTATAGACTATGGCTGTTTCAAAACCTTACCGACTGTCTTCGTAGACATCATTTTAGACAATATATAAGTGTTTGTAAATGCCAATAATGCACAAACATACGGTCTAGGTTGGCAGTACAGTAGGTTTTGAGACCCATTTTATAATGCAGGGTCCCCATGTAAAACTGGAATTAGCAGGGTATTGTAAAATTATTTTCTAATCATAGAAAAGTCAGAAATTTCTACAGTGAAAATAAATATTTCTAGGTATGCTGATCTCTATAATATTTAATAACGAAGCAGATACAGATAAGCTAATTTTATTTTCTTTATGGCTGGTAACTGATAAAAGACTAAATTCTATTTCTATTTTTTATTTATTTATTGTCTAAATAAAAAATAATACTTTAAATATTAAAATCAGTTGTTTTAAATGATACAAGTGAATTTGGGCATCACAATATTATTATTTACTGAATACAAATTTATATTCTGAGATATGCTAAATATTCAATTTAGCATTATTATTATTATTATTAGTAGTAGTACATTTTTAGCATTTTTTAAGATGAATTTTAAGTGAGCATTGGATGATGACACAGGTAATCTAAATGTTAAAATAGAAACACCTAAATATCTAATATCGACCAATAACAATAAATCAAATCTCCAAATCTATAAGACAATAACAAATACGGTAAAAATATCATGCATCCCTAATATTTAACTGGCTTGAAAGCACTTTTTGTTGTTATTATCATCCTGTAAGATGATTTTTAAAATCATCTAGTAAACACAAATGCCTCAAAGTCCTGGAAATTCATTGGTTGGGTGATGAGGGAATCCAGTTATCAGGATGGGTTGTTCCTGGAAATTATGTGTTTTGACCTGTAGTGAAAGAGAGAGCAGATAAAGAGAGTTGTCATTAGCTCAAATAGCTGTTCATCAGCAGAGTCCAGCATGCTCTTGAGAAGAGCTCATTGAGTTGGGGGGCTTGAAAGGCTCCCAGAGGGACACTCCAGTCAGGATGTAATTCTTGGGGCCAAGAGCTAATCCTGTGCTCTCTGCCCTCCTTCCCCCATCTACTTCATGTAAAAGCACCTGCATCTGTAAGTGGGCCATCAGCCCTTATTATAGGTCACTAGAGTGGTCCCACCAGCCTCAAGCTTTACTTCAGAGAGTAGAGAGATATCCCATAATTCCCTGCTGCATGTGTCTTGACAGGAGGAAGAGGAGGAGATCAAAGCTGAGATCAACATGCTGAAGAAATACTCTCACCACAGGAACATTGCCACCTACTATGGTGCCTTCATTAAAAAGAACCCTCCCGGTGTGGACGACCAGCTGTGGGTGAGTACCGTGTCCCAGTGTGCCAGTGGAGATAGAGAGAGTGTATCCATCTGTGCTTCGAACACACTGCCCTGTGTATATGTGGTCTTTTATGGGCCTATGGGGAAGTGTATGATAAATGGGCCTTGAATGAACATTGATGAACAGGAATCAAAGCACCGTTGTCTCTCCTACAGACTTGTTGTCATGGAGAGTTAATGGAGCTCTATTCTGGGAAAAGTTAAGGACTTTGTAAAGGCTGTGAACCGTTTTTGTAAAGATTGGAATAATAGAATTTTTATGTACCGCATCCAAATAGTACAGATCGCTTGACGGAGAGCGAAATTCTCAAGCGCTCAGTCAGCGTGTTTATCGAGTGAAAATCTGTGTTGAACGCCTCTCACACACATACTGGCGTGTAAAATCTAAGAATTTATTAGCCAATGGCTAATGTTAGACGTTATTTAGTCGCCCAGAGTAAGATTTAGTCGCATATGCAAGTGATTTACTCGCAATGTAGAGGGTTGACTCTTATCACTCAGATGTGAGTTGGGCTGCCCCCTAATAGTCGACTAACCGTTAGTCAACCAGAAGAAGCTTGGTCGACCAAAGTTTTATTAGTCGCTTAGTCGCAGAAAAATAAATCCACATTGGCGAAGTCACACAGTCCATGACGGACAGATTGTTAACGGCTGGTCTTTGTGGTAATACAGTACATCGGGCAGGACATCCAAACGCTCGCCTATCATTCATCGACCTCAAATATGGCTTATCATCTGAAATATGTTAGTAGCAGCAACTTTATATGGCCGCTCAATCTAATGTTCACCTAGAGAAATGTGCGCTATTCAGTGTTTGTGTGAAGTGTGGAAGCTGAACAGTAGCGCACACTGCAGGACAGATGGAGGCGCCGGTGCGGTCATTTGCTCTTAAAATACTTCGTCATTTTTGGTCATACAGATAAGAATAATACAGCTTTCGAATCTGTAAAGACTACGTTTATTTGTGTGCACTCACAATAACAACAAATCATTGTGCTTTTGTAAAATAATGAAAGCAAACAGGATGTGCTTTCTGCCGTCTCTGTCTCTGTGAACGCGAAACTCAGAAACTCTGTGTATATTTGCCTTACAGACATAAAAAAATATATCTATATAGATATATTTAGAAATATGAATATATGAAATCTCTACTTTAAAATAAACCAATTCAAATGGAAAACAGATAGTCTCAGATTATGTAATCCGTAACAAGCATACAGGCGCGTCCATCCACTACTGCGGAGATGCCGAGTCAGTGTCGCCGACTTCATCTTTTAAGCCGAAAACAAAGAAAGCACCAGTTTATCAATACATTATTAAAATGTTAGTGCAGCATCCTTACTGTTTTTCCGGACACATTCATAATCATTACTTCTGCTGGTGCTGTGGCAAGCATTTTGTGTGCGCTTGAGCGCTTAATAGGCAATGTAAAGGCTCATTATTATTATTATTTAAATGGTTTATTAATAAACATGCGATTACCTCGACTAATGCTACAAATGAACGACTACTAGTCAACCAGAAAAATCTTTAGTCGAGGGCAGCCCTAGTTGTTAACTCCTAGCCCGAGTTGATGTGTGCTTGAATGTAGTGGCTGACCAATATAGGATTTTCAAAACCCAAAGCCAATATTTAGAGATGAGGTTGATCTATAACAATATAATGCTGATATAATATAAATAAGTGGTTCTCAACCAGGGAACCGGGTCACAGGATAATTTAAAATTACATTAAAAATATTAAATCTTTTAAATCTTTTTTTTTTTTTTTTGTATTTGAATTTCATTTATTAAAATATGTTTTTTTTTAAATGGAAAAATATATTTCCTTTTTTTATTTCCCCCCTTAACCGTGTTAATTAAAAACATACAGTTCTTAAAACTTTTGGAGGCACAAAATATTTTTTTTTTTTATAAAAACTCCCAGTTTGTGTTAATAAAGCAGTTTAATAATTAGCAGCTTTGTCATGATTACAGCAGAAATACCAGAAGGAATATTATAGCCTAGGCCTTTCAAATATTGTTTGACAATTGGTGGGCCTTCAATTTAAATAGATTGAGAACCACTACTATAAATAATAATTTAATTTAATTATACCAATGAGACCAATAGAATTTTTAATATAAATGAAACGCAATTTGACACAAAATTCACTCAAGGCTCACTGGAAAATATTTAATTATACTCACTGTATACAATAGTAATAATCCAGTAAAAATAGTTTTGATTTTCCTGTGTTTTAACTACATTATTTGTCAAAATTACCCGAAATTGAGTGATCTGTCTATTGAAAGACTGATTTGTCTGAGCTATGCTCAGATTTGCAGAAAGCCTGAGTGTGAAAATTGATATCAAATCAATTATATTTAAAGCTTGGAAGTTGTTCACAGTTCCAGTGATGCAATTACTGTATTTTGCCATTCTACTGATAGTGTTTGGCCTACACTCTCAGACAAAAGGTACAGAACTGTCACTGGGGTGGTACCCTTTCAAAATGAACTAATATGTACCTGTAAGGTACTAATATGCGCCAACAAACATGCACTTTTTTTAAGCTTTTGTAACATAGGGTTACCACCCTAGTGACAGCTGTTTATCTTTTTTTCTGAGAGTGTATAATGAAGCAAGTAATGATCTCCATAATAAGTAAATTCGAGAGGCCATTATTTAAATCTGCTGACTATACTTCTATTCTTTCACTTCATCTCCCAGTCGTAGTTTACTTTTCTCGTCCATATTTTCTTCTCCTGACAACTCTTTCCCTCTTCCACTTCTCTTCTCTTCCTCAGCTGAAAGACAGGTCTGATAGTGGCAGGGTAATTTGTGTTGTTTATCAGCGGCTGCAGGGACACACAGGGGCACATAGATGTAGCGCTCCACCAATAAAGATAGACATCGCAGGAAATGAAGTGCATTTGTGACACATCTCAGCACTGAGTGACAGCTCTTGAATGGGCAGACCTTTCAGATGAAGGGTGACATTCCCTCTGCTGTAAGACTCGAGGGCCACAGACCTCATCAGTATTCCCTCTGACCTGACAATCAAAAGCCCAAAGACACAGATTGGGAAAGAAGCTTTTGGCATGATCAAGTGATTGAAACCTACATTCAATTTTGCTCCTGCTCTTCAGGTAGTTGGTGTGCATGTTTCCAAGGGAATCCATTCACTCTGGCACTCAGCTTCAGCGCTGTTCTTGCATAAGCACTTTCTATTTAACGATTGCTCTCACCAACTTAACACAGCAGTTAGTGCTGTGGACTCTGAATTAAGCTTGAAGCCTATAAATTACTCCTTCAGTTTGGTCCTTGTGCACAAAGATTAGTTTGCAGCACATTCTTTTCAGTCTGTTGAAGAGGACATAGAGGTAGAGGTAATGAAAGCCTGACCTTTAAAAAGACCAGCTTACACCAGCATGTGATTTTCACACATCTTTAGGCTGGTTTTTGCTGGACTAGCTTTTAGAGGTCCTGTTCAAACAGCAAGGTTGACTAAAAAAGCTTGTTGGTTAATATAAAGAACAAATAAAAATACTAAGTAAATATAATAAAATAAGCATTTTTGATGTATATTCACATATTTAGTTCACTTCCCGAAAAAAAAAATCCTGATAATTTACTCACCACCATGTCATCCAAGATGTTCATGTCTTTCTTTCTTCAGTTGAAAATAATTCGATTTTTCTCCATGTAGTGGACTTCAACAGGGACCAACGGGGTGAAGGTTCAAATTGCAGTTTCAATGTAGCTTCAAAGGGCTCTACACGATCCCCGCCGAGGAATAAGGATCAGTCATTTTAAAAAAAATAATAAAAATGTATATACTTTTTAATCACAAATGCTCATCTTGCACTAGCTCTGCGTTTCATGTTCACGACTTCACGCATTACGTAATCACATTGGAAATGTCACAAGTGACGTAGGCAGAAGTACTGACCCAGTGTTTACAAAATGACTGTGCAAAGACTAAATCAAACGCCCTTTACAAAAAAGGTAAAACGACGATGACGGACCATTTTGAAGTTGGAGGAGAAAATCAGATGGAGTTTGTTACTACTTCTGCCTACATCACGTGTGACCTTTCCAATGTGATTACGTAATGCGAGATGTCGTGGACGCACATCGCAGAGCTAGTGCAAGATGAGCGTTTCTGGTTAAAGTATATAAATTTTTTTTTTTAAGAAAATAACCAATCGCTTCACTAGATAAGACCCTTATTCCTTGGCTGGGATCGTGTAGAGCCCTTTGAAGCTGCACTGAAACTGCAATTTGGACCTTCAACTCGTTGATCCCCATTGAAGTTCCCTATATAGAGAAAAATCCTGGAACGTTTTCCTCAAAAACCTTAATTTCTTTTCGACTGAAGAAAGAAAGACATCAACGTCTTCGATGACATGGTGGTGAGTATGTTATCAGGAATTTTTTATTCTGGAAGTGAACTAATCCTTTGAGGTAACAGCATCAAACACAGCATATACTGGTCTTTTCAAATAAGTGAACTGAGGCAATTGAGTTTTGATTCTACTGAGATTCATGTTGCTGCAAAAATGCCTAAACATCACGCAGTCCTACTGTATGTACACTTTTCTGTCTAGGAGACATGCATTGGTGCTGAATCACGGCCTATGACTGAGTGTGATAGTCTGTGAAAATGAGTCAGCGTCTTAAAATAGAGAAGCACCATCACCCAAAACACAGCCTCATGAGCAGTGCTCAATGATCTCATTCTTCCTCCTTTATGGCATCCTAGACAGAAAAATAGCAAGTTTCTCATGATTCATAAAGTATTAAAGAGGTCAAGCAGCACATGATGTTTCTTTGTGTGTTGTTGTGGTTTTATATGTCATAAGTGGATTATGATTTGCTCAGACATCAAGATTACTGAGCTTAACTTAAACTGTTCTTACACAATGGATTTATCCTTGTTTGAACTTCACAATTCTTAAAGGTAAAGTTTACTCAAATGTGAATTTCTTTCTTCTGTTGAACACACAAGAAGAATTTTTGAAGAATGTTGGTAACCAAAAAGTTGCTGGTAGCTATTGACTCCCATAGCATTTTTTGGAAGTCAGTGGCTACCAACAAATGTTTTGTTACCAACATTCTTCAAAATATCTTCTTTTGTGCTCAGCAGAAGAAAGAAACTCACGAGGATGAGTAAATAATGACAGAATTTTCATTTTTGGGTGAACTATCCCTTTAAGTCATACTGGCCTCAGAAGCAAATGTTCAGTTTCAGAGAACTGAATAATGTAAAGTGTTTCCTTATTTAACTGTAGGCCATTTCCAGATGCAGCCAGCTTGAGTGGCTGTTGTGTGGTTGAGCACCCATCTCTGACATGGAGTATTTGAACCTGAGCTCAAGGGCTCGTGACTAGACAGGACACTCTCCGCTGAAGTACGATTAGAGGAGCTAGAAGCACAAGTCACTTCCAATTACAACAGAATAAGGCTAAATCGGAGGGTTTGAGGATCAGCTAAGCTGACTAGCTACATTTTGCAGCCATTTTCATATCCACAACTGGTGTGTTATGTTCATTTGTCGAATGCAGCATTGTTGTAGCATGACAAATTGCTAGCGTTTTTGTAACTTGGCTACGGTTTTTAGATAGCTTAGTTGTTTTTGTTCTGGAAAGATGTGGTTTTAATGTTTTATACAAACAACAGTCAGGTACTCAACAGTGCAATTTATTTAATGGGCCGTACTTGTCATTTTCATTTGCAGCAAATTAAATATAGCTTCTACGCTGAGTAAATTCCATGAGGTAGGTGTTTAAAAAAACGTAGGTGTTTCTCAAAACAAATTTTTTCAGATTTCTGTACTAGAACAGTCGATTTAGTTATTTGTCAGTTGGCCTTTTCGTGAGAACAAATCCTGTTTTCATCTGTAAAAGTTCACTGCCTCCACCCGGGAAAACAAACGGACAAAGATTAATGGGCTTTGTTTAACTTCTGTAATATGGGCTTATCCGTATTACAATAATATCACCTTTTGCTTCTGAGGAATTACCCTTCCCATTATTACAAATAATCATGACACCTGAAGAAAAGAGATGAACTTTCTTCACTTGAGTTAAAAGTTTGAAGTGTTATTGTGTTATTTTTTCATCCCTTTCTTTTCATTCCTGTTTGTTTTGTTTTTGTTTTGTAGTTTTTTGTTTTGTTTCGTGTTTTGTGTTTTTTGTTTTTTGTGTTTTTGTTTTTTGTTATTGAATTGAGCAGTCAGACAAGACATGCATTTCTAGATTTATACTCAGTTGCATCTTAAATGAAATTCACATCAGATAATTAAAGTGAAAGTCCCTCCTGATCTCTTGTGCTTGCCACTTTGCCAGCAAGTTTCGTTCTTGCAGCCAAATCTGGTCTGATTAAAACCTGAGTGATGCAGCCTTTTAAACACTGCACGTCTTGGGTCTGAGAGACATGGACCGGTGGGAGAGGAGGGGATCAGATCTTCAGTGCATGACGATGGTGACAGGCCTTTCCTCCTGTCTGCTACATTTATCCCAGCATCCACATGCATATTAATGGACTCTCATATCTCTCTCTCTCTCTCTCTCTCTCAGCTTGCGGTTGAGCAGTACTCAAAGATTTATGTCCTCCATTTGAATGTCCCTACTTGGGTGTTTTTGTTGAATGCTGCAATATTTATTATGTTTTTTTTAATGATCTGTGGGACTTTCCTCTCTGTCTTAATATATGATAAAATCCACCCAGTGCTCTACGGGGCATAATCCCATGGATCCCATGAAATATTAACGGGCTGATTAAAGCAGTTAGCCCCTGTCGTGCTGTTTGTTTGGGTTTTGTTTGTGATTGTTTGCAGTTTAAGTGGGTTGTTCTAATATATTTTTGATAAGCAAATGGTAGGCCAGGGCAAAATTAGAATAAATGGGACAACTGCACAGAAATGAGATTTGGGGCTAAAAGTTGTTGAAAGTGTTTCAAGACCCCTTGAAATGGTTTAATGAACAGTTTTCTTTTCTGTGTTGACATTTTTACTATTGAAAGGGAACATGCGTATTAAAGGGGAATGACATTATCATTTTAGAAAGTGTTTGATTGCTCACAAATCTGTATAGTGCTGAAATTGTATTTATGTAATAAAAGTGAATGTAGCAGTGCAACCTCAAAGCTATCAGACATAGACTCAAAGCCATAAATCTCTCACTTTGATTTAATGGAGTCTTTAAGGGACTGTGTGAAAGACAAAAGGACGATTATGATTTGCAGGAATTGACTTGTGTTGTCTCTACAGCTGGTGATGGAGTTCTGTGGCGCAGGCTCAGTGACAGACCTGATCAAGAACACCAAGGGCAACTCACTGAGGGAAGACTGGACTGCCTACATTAGCAGAGAGATCCTCAGGGTAACGGCTCAAGTCACTGTGCTTTATTCACTGTCTTCCCTGCTGTGCTTAAACTAGCATTTGGAACATGCTTGCTGTTTTAGGTGATTCTAGCTGGTCAACAGTATAGACTGGCCTATATAAATATATCTAATCAAATTCTCTACTGTTCAAAAGTTTGGGGTCAGTTAAAATTTTTTTAGTAAATAGATAATTTATTTTTCTAGGATGCTTTAATGAATATAAAGTTTAAAAGAACATTATTTATTTTAAGTAGAATTTTTAGTAACTGTCCATTTTGTGCATTTTAATGTATCGTTGCTAAATAAAAGTATTAATTTTACTAATGTCGAACATTAAAGCATGTCAACATATTCTGTTACACCAAATACACAAAAGAATGATCTTTAAAAAAGCATCATATGACCCCTTTAAATAGTAGTGTATGTAGTATGCATTCAGAAGACCTTAAATCTAGAGCATGAATCGTTTTGTGTTCCACAGAAAAAATGTCATTGCATTAGATGACACATTATCATACCAAGTTGCATTTATTTTAAAGAATGGCAAAATGCGAATAAATGTTCAGGAAGAACATTTCACACAAATGTTTTGTTACTTTTTAAGTGCAAATGTCATTTATTAAATGTAGTAATTCACAACCTAGTTTGTGAATGAAGGATTCTGCCTTTTTTTTCCTCCTAATTCATGTTTGTCTCTTTTCCAGGGCCTCACTCATCTCCACCATCACAAAGTCATCCACAGAGACATCAAAGGCCAGAATGTGCTGCTAACAGAGAATGCGGAGGTCAAACTAGGTAAGAGCACAGCCCTGAGGCTCGGATAACTTTGCATAGCATTTACAGGCCTCACTGTGACTGTGCAGAGAAGGTTTCAAAGCAAAGGAATGTGAAAGAAGCATGGCCCAGCAATGCTAATGCGCTGTTGTCCTTTAGCGGTGCCCCCTTTAAGACTCTGCGAGGAAATTAGCATTGACTGTGAGACAGAGTAGGCTGGAACAGAGGTAAATCAATTAGCCTGTGAGGTAAATAATTGATCATCCTTTAGTTGACAGTGCTACTCTAGCAGATTTCATAAATATGCTGAAGGCTGACTGCTAAAGGTTTGTGATTGCGAAAGGCGCTTTTCAAAACAAATAGTTTCTTTTCTCTGCCTTGAGAACATTTGTTTTTATTTCATCTCATTACATTTCCGTGTTTACTGTGAGGAGAGGCCAATTACCTAAAAGCACAGGCACTTGCATGTCAGCGCACCTATTTGATTTATCACATGTAAAGGTTTTCAATTTTTCATTTTATCATGTCTAGTTAAACTAGCTTCTTATGTAATACAATTCTTTATAGGACGTCATCTATCTTGAAATCATGTACGGCACTAAGCATAAATGCAGCAGCTGTTGATTTTTTTTCACCCCTTAGCATGTTGTGTAAATGTGTTAAAGGAATAGTTCACCAAAAAAAGTAAATTCTGTCATTAATCACTCACCCTCATGTCTTTCCAAACCCGTAAGACCTTTGTTCATCTTTGAAAAAAAAAATTATGACACACAGTATTCTCGTAGCTTCATAAAATTAAGGTTGAACCACCGATATCACATGAACTATTTTAACAATGTCCTTAAGGTAGTACTACCTTTCGGGGCCTTCAACGTGGTAGTTCCCTTGCTGTCTATGCAGAGTCAGAAAGCTCTCGGATTTCATCAAAAATATCTTAATTTGTGTTCTGAAGATAAACAAAGGTCTTTGGAACGACATGAGGGTGAGTAATTAATGCTAGAATTTAAATTTGTTGGTGAACTATCCCTTTTAGTTTCCAGCGACAAGCAATGGACCTTTTTCACATTTCCGGGTTTCTCAGCAGCGGAAGTCGTCATAGTTGGGTTAACTCGAACAGCGGTGAATGGGAGAGCACCACAAATATATTTTTTTGCATTCCCATTTGCTCAAATATTATTGAGTAGAAGGCAGGGTTTTATTTTTGCGCTCCTCCTCTCTGTCTCTCACTCATAGCAACCTAACAGTTGGAGGGGTGTGTTTAAGGATATTCTGCACAAGCCGTCAAACTGACATCAGAGAAGGAATGTCATTCCAGAGCAGAAGCAAATGTTCAGATTTTGATTAAAGATTAACATGACAAACAATTTTTTTTCCAGCGGATTAACTTTCACGTGTTTATTGTTCACATAAAGACTAGCAATGTGAGCTAATAAAGTAAATAAAGTCACTTTAAACATCAAATACTTTTAATTACCGGACATTTTTGGACTGGTGAAAATCCCCAGTGGGCAGGGCTACTCTGCATGAAGGTGTGGTCACCTTAGAGAATTTTGGCAAAATGTTGTGGTCAAAAAATATCTTTCGCAATAGTATACTGTAGCAAGCGATACATAAAACACCACTCACACAGTAGTCATTTGCTGTTGGTCAGTGCAGTAAATTCAAGTGAACTTTAACATGAATAAATTCTGTGTGGGGAACTTTTTCGCCCATGCGGAAAATTCACAATTTAGCTGAAATTCAATTCAATTCAAGTTTATTTGTATAGCACTTTTCACGATACAAATCGTTGCAAAGCAGCTGTACAATATATGTTTCTACAATATATTTAGTAGTAGCTTATCAGTGGTGACTATGTCAGTAAATGTACATATGGCAGAAATGTTTGGAAAAATCAATTAAAGACGTAATCAAACAGACTATGAACACTAGAAATGTTTGGAAAAATCAATTAAAGACGTAATCAAACAGACGATGAACACTATTAACAACAATGATTATATGATGCAATCAAACTTATAGCAACATTTGGTAGTTCTGTATGTTGTTTCAGGGTTGGCATCATCTGAGGTCCTCTGAGGGGTTGGCATCATCTCTTCTCAGGTGTTCTGGATCCAGACTGAAGCTTGTGTAAATCCTAGTTACCACGGGATGTCAATCCTGTGGCAAAAACAGAGAAACAAATAGGGACATAATTAGCGTAGCTGCTGTTCCAACCAAGCAAAATTGATTTGTTTAACCCAAGCTAAAGAATAATAATGTGCATTTGATCAGATATAACTGCAGTACAAGATTATGATATGCATTATTTGAATGCTTGGCCAAAGAGATGTGTCTTTAATCTAGATTTAAACAGAGAGAGTGTGTCTGAACCCCGAACGTTATCAGGAAGGCTATTCCAGAGTTTGGGAGCCAAATGCGAAAAAGCTCTACCTCCTTTAGTGGACTTTGCTATCCTAGGTACTACCAAAAGTCCAGAGTTTTGCGACCTTAGGGAGCGTGATGGATTGTAGCGTGGTAGAAGACTAGTTAGGTACGCAGGAGCTAACCCATTAAGGGCCTTATAGGCAAGTAATAATATTTTGTAACTGATACGGAACTTAATAGGTAGCCAGTGCAGAGACTGTAAAATTGGGGTAATATGATCATATTTTCTTGACCTGGTAAGGACTCTAGCCGCTGCATTTTGGACTACCTGTAGCTTGTTTATTGAAGATGCAGGACAACCACCTAGCAGTGCATTACAATAGTCCAGTCTAGAGGTCATGAATGCATGAACTAGCTTTTCTGCATCAGAAACAGGTAACATATTTCGTAGTTTGGCAATGTTTCTAAGATGGAAGAATGCTGTTTTTGTAACATGGGAAATATGATTTTCAAAAGACAAGTTGCTATCTAATATAACACCCAGATTTTTGACTGTAGAGGAAGTAACAGTATATCCGTCTAGTTTCAGATTGTAATCCACGAGATTCTGTGTACTGTCTTTTGGTCCAATAAGTAATATCTCTGTCTTATCCGAGTTTAATAGGAGAAAATTATTGGTCATCCAATCTTTTACATTTTTAACACACTCTGTTATCTTAGATAATTTAGAAGTTTCATCTGGTCTTGTTGAGATATATAGTTGAGTATCATCTGCATAACAGTGGAAGCTAATCCCGTATTTTCTAATAATATTACCAAGGGGCAACATGTATATCGAAAATAGCAGAGGACCTAGGACAGATCCTTGTGGCACTCCATATTTTACTGGTGATAATTGAGATGACTCCCCATTTAAATGAACAAGGTGGTAGTGATCGGACAGGTAGGATCTAAACCATTTTCCTTGAATACCTTGAATACCTGTATAGTTTTGTAATCGATCTATGAGTATGTCATGATCTATGGTGTCAATAAGATCAAGAAGATCAAGTAAAACTAGCAATGAGATACAGCCTTGGTCTGACGCAAGAAGCAAGTCATTTGTAATTTTAACAAGTGCAGTTTCTGTGCTATGGTGGGCCTGAAACCTGACTGAAATTCTTCATATAGATCATTTTTTTGCAGGAAGGAGCGCAATTGAGCGGACACAACTTTTTCTAAAATTTTAGACATAAAAGGAAGATTTGAGATGGGTCTTTAATTTGCCAGTTCACTAGGATCTATTTGTGGTTTCTTAATAAGAGGCTTAATACCGCCAGCTTGAATGGTTTTGGGACGTGACCTAGAGATAACGATTTAATACGAGTTAATAATATTGAGAAGCCGTTCTTCTGCTACAGGTAACAACTCTTTCAGTAATTTAGATTATGATATGCATTATTTGAATGCTTGGCCAAAGAGATGTGTCTTTAATCTAGATTTAAACAGAGAGAGTGTGTCTGAACCCCGAACATTATCAGGAAGGCTATTCCAGAGTTTGGGAGCCAAATGCGAAAAAGCTCTACCTCCTTTAGTGGACTTTGCTATCCTAGGTACTACCAAAAGTCCAGAGTTTTGCGACCTTAGGGAGCGTGATGGATTGTAGCGTGGTAGAAGACTAGTTAGGTACGCAGGAGCTAGCCCATTAAGGGCCTTATAGGCAAGTAATAATATTTTGTAACTGATACGGAACTTAATAGGTAGCCAGTGCAGAGACTGTAAAATTGGGGTAATATGATCATATTTTCTTGACCTGGTAAGGACTCTAGCCGCTGCATTTTGGACTACCTGTAGCTTGTTTATTGAGGATGCAGGACAACCACCTAGCAGTGCATTACAATAGTCCAGTCTAGAGGTCATGAATGCATGAACTAGCTTTTCTGCATCAGAAACAGGTAACATATTTCGTAGTTTGGCAATGTTTCTAAGATGGAAGAATGCTGTTTTTGTAACATGGGAAATATGATTTTCAAAAGACAAGTTGCTATCTAATATAACACCCAGATTTTTGACTGTAGAGGAAGTAACCGTACATCCGTCTAGTTGCAAATTGTAATCCACGAGATTCTGTGTACTGTCTTTTGGTCCAATAAGTAATATCTCTGTCTTATCCGAGTTTAATAGGAGAAAATTATTGGTCATCCAATCTTTTAAATTTTTAACACATTCTGTTAGCTTATATTATTTAGAAGTTTCATCTGGTCTTGTTGAGATATATAGTTGAGTATCATCTGCATAACAGTGGAAGCTAATCCCGTATTTTCTAATAATATTACCAAGGGGCAACATGTATATCGAAAATAGCAGAGGACCTAGGACAGATCCTTGTGGCACTCCATATTTTACTGGTGATAATTGAGATGACTCCCCATTTAAATGAACAAAGTGGTAGCGATCGGACAGGTAGGATCTAAACCATCTTAAAGCCTGCCCTTGAATACCTGTATAGTTTTGTAATCGATCTATGAGTATGTCATGATCTATAGTGTCGAACGCAGCACTAAGATCAAGTAAAACTAGCAATGAGATGCAGCCTTGGTCTGACGCAAGAAGCAAGTCATTTGTAATTTTAACAAGTGCAGTTTCTGTGCTATGGTGGGGCCTGAAACCTGACT